TCCACTGGTTAAAATGTCTCTTCTCAATCTGTTTTCTAAATCAGTTGTCTTTACTATGATATACCTACATATTCTTCTATTTTTTTTATTATTTTGACTTTTGACTTAATATTTTATAATGTTTCATGAAGTCATTAACTTCTATTTAGTCAATTTTAATTTTCAAGGAGGTGTTGGGGGTTTTTTTGGCGTAAAATTTTGTACCCCTTGTTCCAAGTTTTTAATTTTCTCTTCAAAAATTTTCTTTTTTAGATCTTGTTTTCACTTTTTTTCCCTCTACTGCTCTCATTTGGTTTTTAGAATACTTTTAAACTTTTTTTTTATCTTTAACTGTCCCAGGAATTCTGGTTGAACTTTTGTTTTCAAGTCATTCCCTTCTCACTTTCTGTCTTGAGCTTTCTTGTCACCATAGTAGCTCTTTATAGTGGAGTTCTTTTTTTAAGTTGCTCACTCTTTCAGTCTATTTCTTCACTTTGAATTTTTTTTGCTTGTGCTGAGCTTTGTGTACTTCTTGGGGGAAGTCTGCCCTGAGCTTCTGTCCTCTTACTGCTTACTCTTGTTGCTTTCACAGCTCAGGCTTGGTGTCTGCAAGCTTTCAGTGCTCCCAAAATGATGGGATCCTGGCTACAACCTAGAACTGAGTCTCCACTCTGCTTCTGGGATCAAAGCCATACTGCTACTGTTTCTTGTATGGTACAGACTTCAGTCTCAGCACTCTATAATCCTTTCTCCGCAACCACTCTTCTTTACTCTCTATCTGGGACCCTGAGCAGGGTAGTCAGAAATAGAACTTTCAAGTGGCACCTATTTCTATGCCCTTTGCTGGTAAGGGATCACTCGGGTCTCTTCCTGTCCTGGTTCTTCTTGCATTGGTGCCCTGTCTTAGCTCTTTCAGTCCCTGAGAGCCTAAATGTTCTGTAGCTGGCATGTTCCTGGTCAGATTCCATCCCCAGTGTCTACAAATTTCTCTGTCTGTCTCCCTATGCTTCCCTGAGCTGGAAAAATTATTCACTGTAAGTTTTTCTTGGATTTCTCTATCAGAATTCAATCTGTGAACTTTCTAGATCTTTGTGCAGAGTCTTGGTGGAGAAGTTAAGCTGTATATTTTCCTGCTTACTTCTTTGCCATCTTGACTCTCACCTCGTACTTGACATCAATTTTTAATCATGCCACTCTCCTTTTCAAAAGTTTTCTTCAATGGCTTTTCTTTTTTCTTTTTTTTTCTTTTTTAAAATTAATTAATTTGTTTTTAGTTTTCAACACTTATTTTTATAAGCTTTTGAGTTCTAAATTTTCTCCCCCTCCCTCCTCTCCCTGCTTCCCAAGACAGCATGCAATCTGATATAGGCTATACATATATATATGCATATTAAACATATTTTCACATTAATCATGTTGTAAAGAAGAATCAGAACTAATGGGAGAAACTACAAAGAGAGAGAGAGAGAGAGAGAGAGAGAGAGAGAGAGAGAGAGAGAGACAGAGACAGAGACAGAGAGAGAGAGAGACAGAGAGAGAAAGAGAGAGAAGAGAGAGAAAGAGAGCAAATAGTATGCTTCGAGCTGCATTCAGATTCCATAGTTCTTTTTCTGGTTGTGAATAGCATTTTCTATCATGAGTCCTTTGGAGTTGTCTTAGATTCTTGCATTGCTGCTAAGAAGAGCTAAGTCTATCAAAGTTATTCTTTGCATAATGTCGCTGTTACTGTGTACAATGTTCTCCTGGTTCTGCTCATTTCACTAAGCATCAGTTCATGTAAGTCTTTCCAGGTTTTTTCAATGGCTTTTCATTGTCACTCAAGTAAAGTTCATTTGCTTTAGCTTAGTATATCATCTAGCTCTAATCTGCTTTCTGCCTTATCTCCAATTGCTTCCTATTAATATAATCTGTCCAAAGCTGCATGACTCATGGTTCCTTGAACATACTTACTTTTCTGCCTTTTTTTTCCATACACTCTTTCTTCTCTGCCTCCAATGCCTACTATCTGTTAAAATCCCACTCATCTTTCAAGCCACAGTTCAACTGCAATCTTTGTTAGTAAACTGCCTTATTCCTAAAGTCAGAAATAAATTTCTCCCTTTCTACATGTCCATATCACTGGGTTTGTAATTCTCCAATAGCTTTTATTTCATATATATACAGACATATAGATATATACAGTTAGAAGTATCTTGGACCATTTAGTCCAATTAGTATCTGAATAGGAACCTCCTTTGCAAAATGCCTTGGGGCTCTGGGCCCTCTTTTCTTCTCCCTCTATATTAATTCACTTGGAGATCTCATCAGCTCCAATGAATTTAATTATCATCTCTATGCTGATGATTCTCAATCCACCTAACCAGTTCTAAACCTTATGCTGACCTCCAGTCTTATATACCTAACTGTATTTCAGACATCTCAAACTGGATGCACAGGAGAAATTTTAAACTCAAAACATCCAAAACAGAACTCATCTTTCCACCTAAATCCTCCCGCCTTTCAAACTTCCTTATTACTGTTGAGGACACCACCATTTTCCTAGTCCCTTAGGCTCACAATCTAGATGTCACACTCAACTCCTCACTATGTTTCATACTCCATATCCAATTTGGGGCCAAGGTGACATCTCTCCAATACACCCCTTTCCCTCCTCTGATATTGCTACTTGCTTCTCTCCTCTGCTATTGCCGTCTTGGTTTTGCAGAGGTCTAGGACTTTGGGGTGCTGCTGGGGGACACCCCAAAATCGCGGTACCGGGACCTGTCTAAAAGAATTCAACTCAGATCTTCTTCCTGCCAGAGGAAAAGTTTATTAGTGATAAAACACTTAGGCCAGGTGATGCCCGTAAGGAAGAGAGGGCATGAGAGGTTCTCAGCCCCGAATGAGGGCCAGGGTAGATCTTATATACTTTGGGTGACCAGGGAAGGGTCTGGGAAAATGGTCTGAGAAAAGGGTCTGGGAAAAGGATCTGGGTGAGAATTCCCAGAGATTGGAAAGAGATTGAATAGACAATGGGAATAGATAATGAAGGAACTGAAAGGCATCTGAATGAGATCAAAAAGGTGGGGCCAGGGCTTTCAAAGGGAGATGAGGAGCTGGGTCCTATAGACAAATGGGAGCCAGATTCCCTTTGGTGCAAGGGGTGAAGACCTCAGCTTGGGCCACACCCCATCAGTTTGAGCCCTCACCACCTTGTACAACAAGAGCCTGCTAGTAGGTACACCTGCTACAAGTTTCTCCTTATACTCTATCCATTCAGCCTCCAAAGTGATTTTCCTAAAATGCAGTTCCAACCATGACAATCCACTTGCTCCCTCAAGCGATAAACTCTTGTGGCACCCCATCATCTCTAGGATCAAATACAACATCCTCTGTTCAAAGCCCTTCATAATCTAGCACCCCATCTTTTCAGTCTTTTTACACTTTATCCCCTGATTAATTGGAAATTTGATTAATTGGGGTACAACATGCACCTGAACAGAGGGAACAGAGGCACAGTTCAAGTGCAAAATCCAGGAGCATTTATTGGCAAGTACAGCACACGTGCATGGGAAATAGCAGGATGTAATCTGCTGCTTCAAAGTTTGTGTGTCTTTATACATGGTTTTATGACAAAGGAAGTTAGGAGAATAGGAGAAATACAGAGTACAAGGATGTTTGCGCAAGCTCTCTCCATTTGAGGTTGGCAAGAACCAGTTTGAACAGCCCTGTGGTAGCCTGCACAGAAGAGGTGTTCCAGGTTCACTTAGTGGATACCACAAAGGATCACTGGTATGTCAAATCTCCCATTATGCCTTCTAATGAGCTGATTTTGATTCCCAGGTTAATTTCATTCTCTCCTGGATAATAAGGGTGCTCAAGCAAATCAAAGTGATTAGTAAGCTCATTATACATCCCCCTCCCATTCAAAGTCCAGTAACACTGGCTTCTTTGCTGTTCCACAAACTTGTCACTCCATCTCTTGGCTTTGGGTTGTCCACCATGCCTGGAATGCTCTCCTTCCTCCTCTCCATTTCTGCCTTCCTTGACTTCTTTCAAATTCCAACTAAAATCCTGTCTTCTACAAGGAGCCTTTCCCTATCCCTCCTAGTTCCAGGGCTTTTCCTCTCTTAATTGTTTCCTATTTATCCTGTAAATAGCTCATTTGCACTTAATTGTTGGCTTGTTGTTTTCTCCTTCAGACTGTGAGCTCCTCCAGGACAGGGATTATCTTTCTCCTTTCTTTGTGTCACCAGTTCTTAGCACAGTGCCTTGGCCTATGGTAGGCACTTAATAAATGCTCTTTGACTAACATCCCTGGCAAGTAGTCACCCAGCCTACATTTTTATACCAACATGATAAGGAACTCACAAGGCAGTCCAGTCCAGTTTTAGATGTTCTAGTTCCCTGTACTTAATTGTTAACTTAATTGGGTGAGATACACATACATTAAAAATATACAATTTTCTTTTTTTTTTCTGCAGTTGGGGTTAAGTGACTTGCCCAGGGTCACACAGCTAGTGTCAAGTGTTTGGTATGAGGCCGGATTTGAACTCAGGGCCTCCTGACTTCAGGGCCTGTGCTCTATCCACTGCACCACCTAGCTGCCCCCCAAAATAAATAATTTTGAAAAGCAATATGTTAAAGGAAGCATGAAACAAGTAGTGAAAAGAGCTAGTTTCAAATCTGGTTTCCGAAATGAAGTTAGATTGAATTGAAGTGCATTCCGAGAACTGGGATAGAGGACATCAGGGCACTTCCAGGGCTCTGAATGAAGAATGGAGCCTCTCTCTAGACAGGAATCAAACGGTTTGCTCCGTACAAAGCCAGCCTTATTTAATCCTACTGAGCTGCAGAGAGCTGACAAAGTTTAGTTCTTCCTACAATACCGCTTCCTTTGCCATTCAGGATAAAGGTCTCTGATGGGGCACGTGAGAAGAGTGAAGGAAACAAGGCCTTGGTGACGGAGGAGAATGGAGGCGAGGGTGGCGTTGGTAGTCATGGTAACTAATCAGGCCACGGAGGACTGTACCCAGCAAAAACCGAGCTGGCCCGCCTCGCAAGTAGAGGCGGAGCTTCTGGGAGCCTTCGGCAGGGCGGGGGCCTGGTTGGAGCACCTCCTCCTCGACGTGGTCTGCGTGATAATGGGGCGTTGGGTGGAACGTGCCTTCTGCCGCCTTCGCTGCTGCGGGGCTCGGAGAAGCGCGGCTGCTTGTGCATTCCCGACCACGATCTCCAGATTTTAAAATTCCAGGTGGAAAAGGCGTTGACATTAGCTTTGAATGTGTCAGCGACGCGTTCGGAAGTCGGGGCGCAGCGTAAGGTGAGGCTGCCGGCAGCATCTTGGCACCATGAGTTACTCTGGCCAAGGCTCCCCGCTGAGCCCGGAGCCTAACGGCCGGGGCGGCCGAAGCGCCTGGGAACTGAGTTCCGAGGCGGTTTACAGTGGTGTATGCTGCTACGAGCACCTCCCCGGCGGAGACCGGACGGATGCCGAGGTGACCTTGGCCCTACTGGGCGGGGATCCGGGGCTGCCCCTGGCGCAGGGCTTGGAAGAGCATAGCCATCACTTGACTCTGGATTCCTGCCTCAGCGACGAGACCTACGACTTCAGTTCGGCCGAGTCAGGCTCCTCCCTCCGCTACTACAGCGAAGGCGACAGCTGCGGCGGCGGCGGCGGCGGCAGCAGCTCCTCCTCGCTGCTGATGCCCCCGCAGACCCAGCCGTCGTCTCTGCACTCGTCCATCTCAAGCGGTGCGGTGGCGACGGCTGCGGGTCCGGGGGAGAGGAAGCGATCGCGCTCGGACTGCTCGGCTTCTCGGCATCGTTATGAAGTGGTGGCCGAGTTGGGCCCGGAGGAGGTTCGCTGGTTCTACAAGGAAGATAAGAAAACCTGGAAGCCCTTCATCGGCTATGACTCTCTCCGCATCGAGCTGGCCTTCCGGAACCTGGCTCAGGTGACTGACAACAGGCCGCGGGCCCTGCGAGGGCAGACGGCTCCAGCCTCGAGCTCTGGGGAAGAGGACGAGGACAGCGCCTGCGGCTACTGCCGGAGCGCTGTCCTGAGCGAGCCCGAGCTGGAGGAGCTGGTCCACATCGAGCCGGTGTGCGTCCGAGGCGGGCTCTACGAGGTGGACGTGGCCCAGGGCGAGTGCTACCCCGTCTACTGGAATCGTGAGTACCCGCGCGGGAGAAGGGGAGAGGGCATCGATCGCCATTTACAGTCTAACAGGAGTTTATTAAGAACTTAATATGCTTGAGCCCCAGCACTAGCCGCTGAGGATGCAGTGAGAAAAGCATTTCTATTTATCACATCATTCCAGCCAGTCTTTTAGATATTAACTAAGATAAAAGTAAAAGGCGCTGCTTGTGCCTTGGAGGGAGAGACTATGGACTAGGGATAAGTTTTACCTTTGATTCCTTTGTGAGGAGAAAAGATAGTCCAGGTTCTGTTAACATGAGGATATCAGGACAAGGTGCTTTTCCTCTACGTGGCTGCGGATGAAAAAAGACCCTGCTAAGATAAACGACACCTCACTTAGCTGCTCACTTGGAGGTAACAGATTTTACGATCAAAATGTGTAATTCTTTCATCTAGATTCTACTTGATCTGATTTGGTTTTGTTACTTTGAAAAAAAGTGATTTAACAATATGTTTTAGGGAGTGGGAGGATTTCAGAGATAGGGAAGATGCTCTTCAACAATTGTGTATCCCGAGGAAGTAAATTTGTGGTGTTGACTAATTCAATTTAATATACATTTATTAAGGGCCTTATGTGTGCCAGGCAATACGCCAAGCGCCAGGAATACAAAAGGGCACGAGACAGTCCCTGCCCTCAAGGATATTGCAATCTAATTGGAGAGACAACATGCAAACATACACAAGCAAGCTACACAGGATAAACATGAAATAATTAAGAGAAAAAATTAAGAGGGGTTAGCTAGTGAAGGCTTCCAATAGACAGTGGGTCAGTAGTGGGAGTTGAGGAGAATGAGCATCCCGGGATGGCCAGAGAAAATGTCCAGATATAGTGTCTTGTTCCAATTTTAGGAAAACCACTTTAGTGACTCAATGGAGAATGGAATGGAGCGGGGAGAGACTTGAGGCAGGCAGACCCATGAACAGACTGCTGCAATAATCCAGACATGAGCTGATGAGGACTTGCATTGGAGTGGTAGCAGTGTCAGAGAAGAGAAAGCAGCCTATTGGAGAGATGTTGCAAAGATGAAATCAATAGACCTTGGCAACTTTGGATATGGGAGTTGAGAGATATTGAGGATGATTCTTTGATTGTAAGCCTGAGGGCCTAGGAGGATGGTATTGCTATTTACAGGAATAGAGAAGGTGATTGGGGCACGAGAGGATTTAGTGGTAAAAATAATGAGTTCTGCTTTGGACATACTGAGTTTAAGATGCCTACTGGACACCCAGTTTGAAATGTCTGAAAGGTGGTTGGAGATTTGAAGTTAAAGGTCAGAAGAGAGACTGGGGCAAGAAAGATAGGTTTGAAAATTATGGGCATAAAGATGGCAGTTAAATCTATGGGAGTTAATGAGATTACCGAGTGAAGTAGTGTAGAGGGAGAAAAGAAGAGCACCCAGGACAGAACCTTTAGGAACACCTAGGGTTAGAGGGCATGATCCAGCAAATGAGACGGAGAAAATGTTAGATAGGTAGGGAAAAAACCAGGAGTTCTGAAAACCTAGGAGAGAGTGATCAACTATGTCAAAGACTGAGGAAAGGTCAAGGAGAACTGGGATTGAGAAAAGGCTATTAGATTTGGCAATTAGGAGATAATTAGTAACTTTGGAGAGAGAGTGTTATCAGTGGAATGATAAGGTCAAAAGACAGATTTTAAGAGATTTAAGAAGAGAGTGAGTGTAGAGCATTTCTTTTTGAGGAGTTTAGCTACAAAAGGAAGAGAAATAGATCTATAGCTATAGCAGGGATGAAAGGATCAAGTGCGGGTTTTTTAAAGGATGCTGGAGACATGGACATATTTGTATACAGTAGGAAATGAACTAGTGGAGGAGATATTGGAAAATAATTGAGAGTGGGGATATCTGTTAGAATAAAATAAGTGATGGCAAGCACACACACACAATGCAAGTGCATTCCAACAGGATTGAAGAATTGATTCTTTAGCATCCTAAAAATTGCATTGCTTTAACAACAAACCTCACTGCTTTTTGTATCCACGATGCTTACCCTCTGGCACTTAGGTGCTTAACAAATGTTTATCGATTGATTGACCTGTGAGTATGCTTGATCTAGTCCAAGTGATCTTCCTTTTTTTTTTTCTTTGCGGTCATTTCTACTACCTCATACTGTGTATTAAGATATAATCTGTGAACTGGGATGTTAGATTCCATATGTGTTGGCCCCATAATTGATAGAGAGAATGGTTGCTTTAGTTATAGTAATCATATTTTCCTCTGTTTTGTCTTATTGTTCTTCCATTTTCATCCTTAAATATTCCAAAGATGATCTGACTGAATTGGGTATCTTGCCAAGCTTGTTGTCTTTTTTTCCTTTATACCTCTTGCTGTTTTATGAAGCAGTACTGTTTATAGTCTTCCATGGTCATCATTCTGAGTGTTGTGCTTGGCTGACATATTTTTCCATTTGGAAGGAAGCATCAGTATATCATCTAAATAAGTTGGGTTGGAGTTGTAATTATATACCATATCGTTTTCCCTTTTTTACTCTAATTTGATACTAAGCTTGATCTTTATTTTAACAATATGACGGTCTGGGTACAAAACTGATTAGAAAACAACTCATGTCTGTTAATCTATCAGGTTTGCTTTTGTTTTGTTTTTTGGGGGGGAGCAATGTTATTCAATATTTCTCATATCTAATGTCACAGTGGATAGAGCTCCAGACCTGGAGTCAGGAAGACCTGAGTTCAAATATGGCCTCAGACACTTATTTGTGTGACCCTGGGCAAGTCCCTTAACCCTGTTTGTCTCAGTTTCCTTATCTGAAAAATGAGCTGGAAAAGGAAATGGCAAACCAACCATTCCAGTAGCTTTGCCAAGAAAATCCCAAATGTATCAGATAGAGTTGGAAATGACAGAAACAACTCAGCAACAATGACATATCTAATGCCTACAGACTGTTCTTTAAGAAGGTTAAACGTCTGTGTGACCCTGGGCAAGTCACTTAACTCGAATTGCCTAAAATAAAATTTAAAAAAAAAGAAAGTTTATCAAGGAAATAACATAACCAAGCCAACCTGTGTCTACTGCAGATTTGTTATCTAGTCTTACCCTAACCTACAGGCTCACAGGTTTGTTTTACAGAGTAAATCCTTTTATTTAAGGGATTTGTTTTGTGAAGTTTGGATTCAGTCAAAGGTGTGCAGTTGAGGACCTAGAGAGCCACGTGTGGCCTCAAGGCGGAAGGTTCCCCAACCTGGTGCCTAGGCCCTTGCTTCGGCTAGACAATCTACAGTACATTTTTGGTTCTCTTCCTACCTGCCTGCCTGACCTCTCCTAAGTATCTTTTGCTCATTTGCAAAGAGAGGAAACCCAGAGAGGAGATAATATCCCAGAGGAGAAGAGGATAGTCAACTATTTCAAATGTAGCAGAGAAGTAAAACAGATGAAGGTCAAGAAAAGAATATTAGATTTGGCTATTTAGAGATCATTGATAACTTGCAGTTTCAGTTGAGTTACTAGTGTCTTTCCTCTGTTGATTACCTCGAATTTATCCAGTATATATCTCTTTTGTACATGGTTGTTTACATGTTGTCACCTCTATTAAACTGTATACTCCTTGAGAGCAGGGACTGTTTGGTTTTTTTGTTTCTTTGTTTTGCCTTTCTTTGTATCCCAAATGCTTAGTACAGTCTTTGGTGCGTAGTAGGAGTTTAATAAATTATTGCTGGCTGGCTGTGAGATTACAAAAGGTTTCCTTAGAATCTCTATGCAGATGATTCCTAAATCTGTATATCTCCTCCCCCTCCCCCACCCCAGTCTTTCTCCTGACATCTCCTGGATGTCCTAAAGTAATTCCAAACTGAGTGTGTCCAGAACTTATTTTCCCCCCCATCCCCCTCTTGAATTGCCCTTGGGGGCACTAACCATCTTACAACCTTGGTATGAATCCTTCTTGCAATGAAGGTCACTTTGACATCTGAGTGGACTTTGGACTAGGGTGAGGAAGACACTTGTGACAGGCAAACCAAACAACAATCTATTTAAATAATCTAGTGATGAGGTGGTAAGGGCCTGGTCTGGGTGGTGGCAGTGTCAGAAAAGAGAAAGGGGGAAGGAGCATATGCAAAATATGTTATGAAAGTAAAGCCTTGGCAACAGATAGGATATGAACAGTGAGTGATAGTGGGAAGCTGAGGTTGGCACCTGAGTGACTGGGAGGATGGTGGTATTCTTAACAGTAACAGTAATAGAGAAGTTTAGGGATGAGGGGAAAGTTTAGAGGATAATGATTTCAGTTTTCAACATTTTTTTAGTGTAAGATTCTCTGGGTTTAAGATCTAGTTTGTACTATCCAATAGGTAGTTGGATATGGAAGACTGGAGGTCCAGCATAGAGGCTATAACTGGATAAGTGGATTTGAGAATCTTCAGATCACCAAGTGAAATAGTTTAGAAAGAGATGAGGGGCCCAGGACAAAGCCCTGTGGAATACCCACAAGTTAGCTGATGTGACCTGGATGGAGATCCAGAAAGAAGGGTCAGATAGGTACGAGGAAAACCAGGAGAAAGTGGTGTCTTAAAAACCTAGGGAGAAAACACTGTCCGGGAGAAGCAAGTAATTTCATAAAGGTCAGAGAAGGATGAGGTTTGAGAAAAGGTCATTAAATTTGACAATTAATTTTTTTTAACCAGTACCAGATGCTTTTGATGACTGCCTTATAATACAGTTTGAGGTCTGGGAATGCTATTCCTCATTCATCGCTAATTTTCATCATTTTCCTTGAGATTCTAGATTTTCATTTTTCCCAATGAATTTTGTTATTATTTTATTAGGTTCTGTAAAATATCCCTTTGATAATTTGAGTGACACGGCATTAAAAGTGTAAATTTATCTTAGAAATATTGTCATTTTAATTCTACTGGCATGGCCTAAACACAAGCACTGAATATTCCCCCTGGTACTATTTAAGTTGTTTTTTATTTGTTTAAGGAACACTTTGTAATCAAATC